ATTTGATAAAAGTTGAATTTCTTTATAAACACATAATCTTTAAAGACACGTCAGTTCTGTTTTAATGTTTACATGACAAACTTTGTTAATAAATCAAATCCTTACTTTCTCCTCACATATATAATGAGATGGCAGGGTTCTCATTCTGACCCTGAGAGATCTCGTGAGATGGTTCTCACATTTCTGCTTAAATCACCCTTGATAAAATTACGAAATTGTGATGAGTAAGAGTGATTGGCATTGATAATCTAGTACAGTTCAATGTCTTTGTCCAAATTAAGTGCGTCTTAGGTGATCGTTGGTCTTGTGTCTTAGGTCATAGAGGTTGTCTTTATAAACGACTCAGTTAAATCAATCAAATGCGGACGGTTATTTTTGATTCATATTAATTTGTGTACCTTCTTCCTTTGAAGAGACACACAAATATAATTGTGTAAATAAAGGACACATCATGAAAATAATAATAATACAGTGGAACCTTGATAAGAAGACCCTCGATAACAAGTCGCCCTTGATAACAAGTGTCATTTTCAAATCCCTTTAACATTATTTTACCCCTAATCACATGTTATTACAAACCTCGATAAGAAGTCAACCTTGATAACAAGTCTTATTTTACAATCCCCATGAGAGTCTTGTTATCAAGGTTCTACCACAGAAAACATACTACTATAACCTTATCTTATAGTAGTTATAGTAGTATGTTTTCTGTGGTTCTACTGTAATCGACAATGGTTGTACTACTATAACCTTATCTTATAGTAGTTATAGTAGTATGTTTTCTGTGGTTCTACTGTAATCGACAATGGTTGTATACAATAGTGGCCAATAATGAGTTGAAGCTTACGAAAATAATCAGTGTATGTATCCTACAAACTATTGATGAGTGATAACATTGAATATAACACTATATTCAATGGTGGTAGGCCTAATCGGTACACACAACACCCCTAAAATAAAAGTCAAAGAACTACTCCTATAATTAACAGTTAACTTACTATCTTTGAGTCAGCTTTGACAAAGAAGTAATTTTATATTAAAAAACCTTACCTCCATATAGGCTATAATTATTATTTTAATGTTAAAATACTTCCATTAAGCTAAGAAAATAATGGGAAATAATATTACTGCATGTTACACATCTATCCTTGATCATAACAATTTTCGCATAGTATCTGGTCACCATATTTTTAATCTATGTTATGTTATGTTAGCTCAATTGTAAGAGTACTTGGTAATTATTGCGATGAGGGTGCCAAGAGTACTGGTTTTTTTTTATAAGATAACATTTTCCTAAGTAAACTTATGGGGTTTAAGTATTTAACTGCATTGTTTAGTCGAATGTGTAGGCCTATATGAGTTAAAAATGTTATTTAGTCTACTTTTGTTTAAGAAAAGTGGAAATAATTCAAAATACACTAATTGTAACCATCTATTCTATATATAATTCAGTTTTAAAAATCTTTGTACAACTAAATCTAGAGTTATACTTAGTCCAAGCATATGAGGAAAAAAGATGATGTTTTCAGGAAAAAATTCCCGAAGTTTTTTTCTCAGTGGTTTCTTATGTATTTTTTGACGCTGAATCCGATTTTAAACTTTTCCACCTCGCCAGAGGTGAGCTAACTTCAGAAATCGCAAAAAACTAATAAAATACTGTACTTTGTTTTACTTTTTTGCATATAATTCACAAACGGAGTATTTTTTTTCAATAACTGTCATTTACTAAATTAAAGTACACTAAATTCCCTACAATATACGTATATTAACTTTATTTCTACGATGTTCCAAACTGACGCTAGAGCTAGAGCACGCTCAAAATTCATCATTTTCTTTTACCTATTGGAAAACGTAGGAAATACCATTATAAATCTTTGGATTAGTCACCCAACGAGCTCTATTTTATGAATTTTGATTATTTTATAATTATATGGGATCATTAGGTCACATTTAGTGGTTAAAATATGTAAGTGAAGTTTATAGTCGGTAACCACAGCATAAAAAAAATAAGAAAACAATTTTCAATTTAAATACATTTGAAAATTATTATTATAAATAAATCATAGGGTCGAATACCCAGGTGTTTTCACACTTTTTATTTGTGTGCTACTTTTGGCTGCCTTTTTTGAGTATTTCCAAGAAGTGTATGGTATCAATTTGTAGGAAATTTTATTTTCTTTCAGAATATCACCTACACCTTCCACTCTGGTCGATTTCCTCACCATTTAAAAGTTATTTGCAAAAAAGCTAAGCAACCTCCGAAATTATAGTAGGGAATGAGAAAATACTGAGTTAGGGATAGTTTTGTTTAACTTTGTACAACTAAATCTAGACTTCTACTAGACCGATTTTGTTAATTAATGGGTCATTGGAAAGCCTATTGAAATTTATGTATGTAGATTTGAAAGTGTGATTTTATTAAATATTTGTGGTAAAAAAATTAAAATAACAAAAATACATTAAAAACTGCTTTTTTCAAGTTTCTGTTTTCAAGTTTCTATTTGTAGCCAGCTTTTGTCTGCCTTTATTTAGTATTTTCAAGAAATGCATAGTAGTTATTTGTAGTAAATTTTATTCTCTTTCAGAATACCACATCCACTTTGGTCGATTTTCCCTCCATTTTAAAGTTATTGGCAATAAGCTAAGTGACCTCCAAATTTATGGTAGGTAGTGGGAAAATACTGAATTAGATGTATTTTTGTTAAACTTTGTACAACTAAATCTAGACTTCTACCGGACCGATGTTCTTACTTAAAGGGTCGTTGGAAAGCCTAATTCGTAATAATTATGAAAGTTTGATTTTATTACATATTTGAGGTGAAAAAATAAAAATAAACAATAATGCATTTAAAACACTTTTTTTCTCCAAGTTTATGTTTGTAGCCAACTTTAGGCTGCCTTTATTTATTTTCAAGAAATCAAGACAGTAATTTGTAGGATATTTTATCCTCTATCATAATATCACCTTCCACTTTGGTCGATTTCCTCACCATTTCAAAAAAGTTGTTAAACTTTGTACAATTAAATCTAAAGATCTACTTAACCGATTTTAATAATTAATAGGCCCTAGGTCATTGGAAAGTGTAATTAGTGTAGATTTGCTAATAATTATGAAAGTTTGATTTGTTAGATTTACTAGGTGAAACCCGTCAAAGTTGACAGTTAATGCTGAGGTTGCACGCAAGATCGTTTGACTATAAATCGATGATAAATAACTAAATTTGTTTAACAATTTGGGTTGTTCGTGATTTAGCAGTGTGCTTTATTTAGGTAGGTACGTCTGATCTTAATAATCAATCATTCAAATGGACGCTGGTATTTCACTGAAGGTTCTTAGGTCAACCTGCTTTTGGAATATCTTTTGGAGAACGGCAAAGTGGTTAGCGTAATTAGAATTGAGTATATATGTCTAAAACTAAATTCCATATCCAAATTTATGTTTTCTGATTGAGCGATACAGTATCTTGAACTTAACTGATTGAAACTATCAATATCTCAAATGAAAACCTTTATTTCTAGAAGTATTTTAAGACCAAGGCATATAAAATAACTTAAATAAAAATAGAGTTACGTAATTGATTGCAGATAAGTACTAACACGATTATAATTATTCTTGATTCATGATTCTGCAGTTTGCTTTAGGTAGTCCGATCTTTATAATCAATAGCTGAAATGAAAGCTGGTAATGCTGGTATTTCACTAAAGGTTTTCAGACCAAAACATATAGGGTTATGTAATTAGAACTGCTGAAATACACTTTAATTGAAGTAAAAAAAAATTAAATTTCTATTTTTTGTCGAGTAATACATTAGATAAATTAATGATGATACTTGATGACAAATATGTGCTTGCATAGCAGCATAGCTTTATTTTAAGACCAAAATTAAGAAAATCGGTCGGGTAGAAGAGCCAAACGAACTCGAAAAAAACAAATTTAACTCCCATAAAAAATGTACAGGGAGGCAGTTTGTGCATAACTCGAAATATACGACAAAATAAATGCCGATGCTTGATGGCAAACCTGTGGTGCGTCCATACCTTTAGTTTAAGGCCAAAATTATGAAAATCGGTCAGGTAGAAGAGCTAACCCGACTCGGAAAAGAAAAACCAATAAATTTTATAGATGGTAATAATTGGTTTACCATTATGCATAATCTAATCATACAAAACATGTGTTAATTAATTGAACAGCTTATTCGTATATTGTTATTTAATTGATTATTCTTTGATTGAATGTTGTTGCTAACAATTTGAATTTGGGTTTAAAGTGTGTTCCTTATGTTAAGTGTGTCATTCTAATGTTATGTGCTTAATCTGAACCATTAAAATTAGTGAGTAAAGTGGTGTATGGATTTCATAACCGATAACCATTATTTTACTAGAGACCGTTGTATTTAACCACAACGAGCTCTGTTGTTGCTAGTCATTAATAAAGTGGTTGGTTTTAAAATATTGATCCGATTTGTCATATGATTAAAATATTTTAGTTAATTTTAAAGGCAGCCTTTAAGCCTCAGTCAATAGTTAATAAGTCAAATTACCATTTTACAAAAAGGAAAGATGCAGTATACATACACTGTTGTCAGGCCCTGTTGTTGTCAAGAGAGGTTCCCCCACCACTTCTCCACACAGCTGACGAGCAAAACATGGACTCGTCAGACAAAGAAAACTATAACATTCCCTAAGAATTCGCGTAATTGGCAAAGACAGTAGCAATCATACAGGATCCTGATTTGTTCAACGCTTAACACTTTACTAATCGTGCAACCCGTCATTGATGATTGTGACATTAATGAAACCTCACAAAGAAACTACGCTGCAAGTTCTAGGTCAAGCCGTCAAAGTGAAAATCAATATACATTCGTGCCAAACAAACACCGTAAATACAGCTCGGAAGCAATGTTAATGTGTTAAACTAGAAACAACATACCAAATAAGGGACAAAAACAAAGAAAGAAAATGTAAAATGTAGTAAGCAAATTTGTTGTATAAAAACTAACCTCCATATCATGAAGACGAACGGAGTACCCTATACACGGGTTTTTGATGTCTAACACGATGTTTTAACCACGAACTCAGCGTCTGAATCTTCGAAAAGTCCAAAGTCACTACGCCACACGGTCAACAACAATGATCGTCTGCTACGTGCTAGCAGTCGACAGACCACTCCACCATCACCACTGAACTGACTGAGTAGAGTAACAGAAACAGAACAGAACTGACTTATACTGGTGCGCAGCTGGTGTGCGCAGCCCCCACCACACCACGCCAACATACAGCCGATGTTTCGATCTACTGTACGTCTCGTCTGTCGTCACGTCAGCTGTTCCTAGCCACTAGCCAGCTGAGCAATCAGTACTTTGCTTTCCTTTGTGTTTCATTCGCAGAAACAGAAACAAACAAAGACGAGCTTTGTGGATGATGTGAGCCGAATCTGGTCCATACTTTAATACTTTTCAATGAAATGACGATCATACAAAGCATAGATGATGACTGAAATAATGTGTAAAAAGAATGTGTTGCAGTTAGTTGCAGTTTGCAATGATTAAAGGGAGGTGATGCACCGAGGTCACACCACTAATGATGAAACAAATCACTTACCAAATGCTCATCAATGCAATTCAACATGACTGACATCTGATATAAAGATACTCTTTTAAAATAATATTGAATATTTGAATAGCCTTACATACCGGTAATCGTAATTTAGAAAAGTAGATAATCCTACGAAAAAGTAAACAAAATAATTATGACAGTTATTTGTATCAAGCAAACTGCTAAATACAAAGTCAAAAAGAACAATCTATATATCTAATTCCGTAAGCCCAAAATACTACAATGAAATTGTGAGCGAACGGGAGGCCGTAGAAAGCTGGGAGAGGACTCATTTTAAAGGTCTATGGGCATGAAATTTTGGGGGAAATTATTCATTTTTCTTAATTATGCACCAAGGTTGTCACGGAATAAAATAATTCACACTTATATAGCATGGGAATCTAGGTCATGTCTGCTTTGTTTACTTTAAAACATGTGGTTTAACTTTATTTAAAGCATATGGTATGTAATAGGCCTACTATATTTTCAAACTGAAATATACTTTTTCCCAACTTTAAGGGTCTGAATTAGTTAATGGAGTACGATTGGTTGTGTAAGGTATTTCTGAAAAAGTGTAAAGTTAGAAAGTAATTACTGGAGTAGACAAAGGGAACATGTTTTTCATGCCAAAAATAAAACTAATATCTACGGATCCTAATATGCCGTTTAAGTTTACAAGGATTCAATTCCCATTGCGATTAGCTTTCGCTATTACTACAAGCGCAAGGCCAAACCTTCACAAAAGTTGGCATTTATTTGAAGAAAAAACCGTGTTTACCCATGGTCAACTTTATAATGTTGCTTTTAGTCGGGTAAACTCAAACATCTTTATTTTTGACAGTTGTTACAAACTGCATAATAGTGTCAACACAAATTTCTCTTAAACAAATCAAGAAACTATTTTCTTATACATAAAATCTAAAAACTAAAGATCATTGTTCTCTTCTTCTTAAAAAGTCTTCAACACTGTAACAACAGCGTGACAAAAGAACCACTTTCCTAAATTTGTCCACACTATTTTCTATCTTCAGGGGAGTGGGCAGTGCATTAAACAGTTGAATGCCATTGTAAAATAAATTATTTTTAAAAAACGGCCAGATGATGTTAAAATAGTACTAGAACCAAATTAAGACCAAAGAATCTACCAAAATGGATACTATAAAAAAAATGTTGTTTTAAGAGATTTTGTTATAGAATTATAGCATTTTACAATTTGGAGGATGACATTATCACTATGTGTTTTATCGAAGTGAATTTGTCTATATCTAAAGAAATTTATATAGGTAGACCTACTGTATATTTAATCTATAGTCATGAAGATTATTATTGAAAATGTTCGTTAGTTGTATTATGATTAGAAAGTTTGTATTATAAACACACCACATGAACAGTCCTTTGGAATTTTTATTCTAAACAAAGCAGATATCAAAATGCATTATGCAGTTATGTTATACAAGTTATAATATACAAAAATGTTAAACGATAATTCAAGGTAGGGTAACCCATGAGACTAATAATTTGTACAAAATAATTACCAGAATATATTTATAGGGGCAATTGCCCCTACAAGCCACTAGTTTAATACAATTGAGCATATATTGAACACGGATTACTCGTATTACTGTACAGTACCTGGGAACCGAGCTTTGCTCGGGGAAAATCATTCCCCCACTCTGCGATGCCAGACTTTACTACTTCCTTCACCATTTCCTGGGAAACGGACAGAGGAGCGCAAGTCGTAAAACTGTCAACCCCTTGGCTGAAGAATTCGTCGGGGGTAGGACCAAGGAGCGCAGAGGTGCTCGCGCTCCTTGGTCCTACCCGGGCAAGAAACTAATCCCCTACTTACGAGGGTTGAACAAGACAATGCTTAGGTCGACCCTGTGAGTAAATCCCATTAGTCACGCCTCACTGACTACGCCATTGATTCCAGAATATTTTTACAGTGCAACTTATTACCAAACTAATGTTGTATCAACAAATTACCAGGCCACTTTCGAATTTAAATTGCAATATAAAACCTGATCCTTCAGTTGAATATTGAACCACATTTAGATTTTGTTTATAAAGCAGTTAATAAAAATAAGGTAGGTGACTTTAGTCTTCATGGTGTGGATCTAAAATAAATCAATGGAATTGATTGAAAATTAGTAGGTGTATTCACTTTTAATGACTGCTTTAAACAAACATAATATTTAAAAATAAAGGGGTATTGCATCGTTAGTTTTACCAAAGATTACATGTTTTACCTTCGAAAATGTGTTGAACCCTATTAAAATGTGCAAGTTTGCAATGGGCCCCCTGGTTATTAAATACACATTTTTTATAATATATATCCATTTGAATACAATTAACTGCTTTCAACATTTACCCATCATTGATAGAAAACAAACCTGAATTTTACATCTTAGTTTTATAGGTAATTTAAACGGGCAGAAACCATATCTTCTTTATGATACAAATCCTATCTTATCCATTGAAAGTATACTTTTAATATACATTGAAAGTATATTAAATGGCAATGGGATAACCTTAAGGAAAACAATTTTTAGAGGAAGGGGTAGGAGGGGGATGAATCATAGATATATTCTCAGAGTTTTGGCTAGTTCGGTTACGTGACCCCCCCCCCCACCCTTTCCATGCGCCCTTGTACGCGCTTTTCATACCAATACCTGTACCATAACAATACAATTATAAATAGATTACAAAAAAGCAAGTAGTAACTTGATATTTCATAAATATCGTATTGACTAGCATAAACAAACTATACCCGTGCAGCGCCTATTTTATCCTAATTAACAATATAAGTTACTTTGTAGTTTTTCAGACACGACGGCAAGAGTCGAATTTGACTATGTTTATTGTATTTGTGTCAAAATGGTGTTTTTATGAGGAAAATTGTGTACTATTTGGACACATATATATCTTTTTACAAAAATACAAAATGGACCATTCTCAATTCAATTCATATTTCTTAGGAGGTAAACTTTACTTTTGTTATGCCAACAGTGATAAAATCAAATCACAAAAGGGAAAATTTTAAATATTTACACAGCCAACACTTTATATGGTAGCATATATCATATTCCATATAATTTTAAGGGTATTCCAACTCGAATCAACCCCCTAATTTAAACTCAATTTGTATTACTTTCTTTTAGTTTTCGAATCATCATTGGTGTTTTTCACCATGTACAACACGTTTGTTGAATTGCTAAACATTGTCCGCCACAATGTCTAAATAGGAACATGTCACAACGTCAAACAACTTAATTCATTGTTACTAATGTTTGTAGGGCCTAAAAATGTCTAAACTTTAGGCCTACGGTTCGATGTTTTTTTCAAAAATAACTTTTTTCTGGCTGGATATATAAGTTTGATAATTTTACCCCGAAATCATCTGTTCGCATTATTTAGATTAAACAGTGATTGTTACTTTGCCGAAAAAAATCGCAATAGCCAATATTACATTGTTGAGGCTGATTAATAGTGCACTCTGATTCGGATTTCTTGGCCACAATGAATTATTTTTACCCTTGAGTCTGTGACATGAGCTAGTTAATGTACCAATTAATTGTACTGTTACCATTAACAGACAATAGCACTTTCTTTAGGAACCTCCACTGGTAACGAATATGTAAAGTCCATCGCCACTGATTGTAAGTTACTTATAACGTAAAAGATGTAAGTGAAAGTTTGCTTGAAGAACATTTCACTAATTCGATCAGAATTTGTTTTCATACGACGTATTATTTCGTCACATTATTGGTACCTAGTGACGTTTGCCAAAGACGGTATAAGCTTTGAAGAAAACTTGTCCAATATCATTTCAAAACGTGCAGAGGTAGAAAACATGTGAAAAAATCTAAACGAACTATCTCTTTTCGATTGCACCAGAAGTTATGCATTTTACTCGTCCAACATATTTTTATTTGTAAGGTTTTGAGATAGATCTTTAACCGGAGCGTAAACAGAGAAAGTGTAATTCCTAATTATCCTTACAGTGCATGAAGCTTTGAAGATAAATAATATATCAAATCACCCAAAGTAAATAGGTACACAATCTTTTCGTCATTTATATCAATACTTGGGTCCTAAACTTTACAACCAACTTCCGCTTCAAATTGAAAATACAAGAAATTTAAAATATTTTTGTTAAAGAACAGCTGGCAGATACAATATTTGTTATTTGATTCTAGAATCATCAGTGTATTTTTTATTATAAATCAATTTACTTTGCAACTAGTAACAGTACTTGAATAAAGACCAGTTTTAATGTTTCAACAAATATTATAATTGTAGGCCTATACAGTGTTCTGTAATATAGGAAATAAATTAATTGATTTAATATTTTTTAATTTGTTAAAACTAATCAACACGTTTAGTATTATGATTGTCTTGTATAAAAATATTTCATACGCCTAAGTCTAAAGCGACGACTAACTAAGTGAAATAAATTAAAACCACTTTTGTGATTTCGGAAAAATAGTCTAATCATTAGTAGTACCCTAGTTTTATGTGTGTTAAAGAATTTCTATTTTGCGATTGCCACATAAAATAAAAGCAAAATTTAAGTTGAAATTGAAGGTCAATTACTCGGGTGAACTGACCCGA